CAAAATATCCCACATTTATTTCTCCCCCCTCCTCCTTTTAGATTCTTGCCAGATACTCCCTCCTTACTCCATTAATGCCTCTCTCTCTTCAAACCTTCACCACCCTTTCTCCCTCTTCACTTCCATTTTTTTGTATTCATTAAACAAATCCATACATATATACACATATACGCACAGTGCTTGTGTATATATATTACTGCCTCTCCCTTCTTCTGTATATTCCCATGGCTTCTTTTCTCTTACTACTTTTCTTCGCCGCCGTCTTCACTGTTTTCCTCTTCCTCCTCCGGCGGAGCCGGTACCGGAGGCTCCACCTTCCCCCGGGGAGCTTGGGCCTGCCCTTCATCGGCGAGACTCTTCAGCTTATCTCAGCCTACAAGAGCGAGAACCCAGAGCCTTTTGTCGACAAGCGGGTGAACCGGTACGGCCCGATATTCACGACCCACATATTTGGGGAGCCGACGGTGTTCTCGGCGGACCCGGAGACGAACCGGTTCATTTTACTGAATGAGGGGAAGCTTTTCGATTGTAGCTATCCGGGTTCTATATCGAACCTCCTGGGCAAGCACTCGCTTCTGCTGATGAAAGGTGGTCTTCACAAGAGAATGCATTCGCTCACCATGAGCTTCGCTAACTCCACCATCATCAAGGATCATCTCTTGGTGGATATAGACCGGCTGATCCGGCTCAACCTGGATTCCTGGACCGATCGGGTCTTCCTCATGGAAGAGGCCAAGAAGGTATGCCCCTCTTTCTTCCCCTCATTAATTAATTTCTTAAGCTTGTGATTTTCTTAATCACAAATCACTTAACTTTCCCAAATCTTTATAACTCGACCAACTTTACCGGTTCGACTCGGTCGTGGACTCTTGGTTCGTCCGCGTCGATCTCGATTGCCATCACATGGGGTGGGAGCTGGGGGTGGTCCAGCGAGGAACTAAACACCCTTTCTCTTTCTCTCTCTGGCCTTCTTTTTAATTTAATTTTTAATAAACCTATCGTTGATTATGGTTTTATTTTTCAATTAAAATAAAATTTTCCTGTTTAATATGCTCAAATCCATTGCATTTGCATAGAAGCCCCCACGTTGAGCCCATATCGAACCCACCAAAGACAGTTTTACGGCTAAGAATAATAATTCCCCTAATAAGGGGTCATCATAACATACAACATGCACATGTAATACAACATGCCTTTCAGCGCGACATGCTATTATATATTCTGTTCTCTGAATTTTGATTCCTAAATATATATATATATATATATTCCAAGAATCACGTTGTGCAATGCGTGAATGCTTTTCTGTTTTGAAAATGATGAGGGGATTAAATGTGTTGCAGATAACTTTCGAGCTGACGATGAAGCAGTTGATGAGCTTCGATCCGGGGGAGTGGACGGAGAGTCTGAGGAAGGAGTACGTGATGGTGATCGAAGGCTTCTTCACGCTGCCTCTGCCTCTGTTCTCCGCCACCTACCGGCGAGCCATCAGGGCCAGGACCAAGGTCGCCGAGGCCCTCACGCTCATTGTCAGGGACCGGAGGAAGGATAATCGCGTCAGATCCGATATGCTTGGAGCTCTCATGGCTTCCGGTGACCAGTTCTCCGACGAGCAGATCGTCGATTTCATGATCGCCTTGCTTGTTGCCGGCTATGAGACCACCTCCACCATCATGACCCTCGCCGTCAAGTTCCTCTCCGAAACTCCTCTGGCTCTGGCTCAGCTCAAGGTAAACATCAAATCCTACCTCTGTCAAAAAAGCCTACCTACATCCTTCACCTTTCACCGCGGTTAAAAAAGTGATCAATTCTGTCATATTTATGCTTTTTGACACTCAATTATTATCATATTATCATTTACATGCCTAAATACTATACCTTTCCGAGTTGTGAAATGGTGTTTTAAAATATAAGATACCTTAAATTGAATAAGATATCATTAATTGTAATTATTTTAATATTAATATATTATTATTCATTTCTTATTATATTTTCTCCTGTTATTTAATTTTTTACTCAAATAAGATTATATTAAATAAAGATATTTTTAAAAGTTTATATTTATTTTTTAAAAATTATATTTAATAAACATGTTAGCATGTGTAATTTCATCTGACAGTATTTTATAAATTAAGATATATTTAACTTATCTATATATGAAGGCCTCTTTAGTCATGCACGCACGGACACATCACAGACACAGTTAAAGACGCATGCTGCGTGTGCCAAATATTTGACAGATTGGTTTGGGGTAATTAAATTGCAGTATCAAATTAATGAAGGTTGGTTATAAGATAATTGTGGGCGTGATAAATAAAAAAGGAAGAAGGTCAAAAAGAGGAGGGGAAGTACATGTCGTAAAGTCAAAGAAGAAGACACAAATGTGGAGCCAAGGGACAAAATTATTACATCCAAACTGCACGCTGAGGAGTTTTGTCAAGATGACAAAGTTCCCAAAAAACAATTCTGAAGAAAAAAAGTAAAATCGGTCGTGTCAGAGTCTGATCACATATGTTCCTCCACCTGCAATTTCATCCGCTCATACCATATTTATCACTTTTCTATAATTTTTAAATTTTAAATACCGTGCTAATTTTCAGGTTAAAAAATGGTAGTACGAATTTATTTATTTATTTTTGTTTTAACATTCGTTGGATTCATCTTCTTTGGTTGGCCAAGAGCTTAGCTGGAGACGTGTTTGACCCATAGCTAGTTAATCCCTCGCCTTTCATGTTATAGGCCCTTTTAAAACTTCAATACAACATTTATTGATATTCTTCCCATTATATCCTTATTTATAATTTCAATGCATAATTAATCAACCCATCTGTTCCTTTGTTTTCATTTTATTAATTATAAAATAAATTAAAGATAAAAAAACCTATTATATTAATTGTATTTTTAATACATGTGCTGAAAGTCTGAAACCTTAAAAAATAAAAAATTAGTATACTTTTGAAAGAGCAGTGAATAGTAAATAATCTGCCTCTGCCTTCACTTCAGTGAGGCTGGTAGGAAACGAGGTGTATCAGTTTCAACTTTCAAGGACTTTGCAAAATCCAACTACGCGTATTAAATATTAATTGCTCCAGCAAAATCACAATTGTTTTTATGCTAGGGTTGCTAAGTTTAATTAAGGGCGAGATAACGGTGTACTTTCTCTGATTCCTAGGACAGCTTTTGGGCTTTGCCAATTCCTCTTTAATGGCGTCGTAGTATTCAATTAATCAAGCTAATTAATTGATGCTTTGCCTTGTCATTAAGAATTCAATAAGAGAAATTGGCGGTTGTTTTGGCAGGAAGAACATGATCAGATCAGAGTGAAGAAGGGTGATGCAGAAGCTGCGGTGGAGTGGAGTGACTACAAGTCAATGGCATTTACTCAATGCGTGAGTGTTTTCCATATATACAGAGAACATCAAAGCTTCTTTCAATTCTTTTGTTTTGTGTTAGTATTAAATATTAATCCTTTGTTCTTGATTTCTGGTAATGTGGTATTCAGGTTGTGAATGAGACTCTGCGAGTGGCTAACATAATCGGTGGGATTTTCAGGAGGGCCATGACAGACATCAACATAAAAGGTGATCAACATGGAGGATGAAGTGTCTAACTTGTAACATATCAGACACATGCTTCATTATTCAACTCAACGAAGTTAAAATTTAATGGTATGAAATGTGTAGGTTATACAATTCCCAAGGGGTGGAAGGTGTTTGCATCATTCCGTGCTGTGCATCTAAACCCAGACCATTTCAAAGATGCTCGAACCTTCAATCCATGGAGGTGGCAGGTAAACCCCTCTCTGTTTTGCTCCCCCCCTTTTTTTTTTCCTGGAGGAAAACCCCTCTCGGGTCCCACCCAGTAATTTTGACTTCATGAGAATTTTTTGTATTTAGATTTCATTTGTGAGATTAGAGAGTGCTTTCCCTTCTCTTTTGAAATGGTGTCTTCTGCCCCTCGGGGTTTGTAATAAATCTGAAATTGAACAGAATAATTCGGAAGCAGCAAGCCCAGGGAATGTATATACGCCATTTGGAGGAGGGCCAAGGCTGTGCCCTGGCTATGAGCTTGCTAGGGTTGTTCTCTCTGTCTTCCTTCACCGCATGATCACTCGTTTCAGGTGATTATTTCATTCAAACAAACACAAGCTCTCGTACAACTCGGAAAGTAACTACATTACATTAATGCTAACGAAACGATTTTGTTTTGACACAAGTTGGGAAGCCGCGGAGGAGGACAAGTTGTGTTTTTCCCAACAACGAGAACACAGAAGAGGTATCCAATCATAGTGAAGCGCCGAGAAGAGGCCCTACGACATTGTATATAGTGCAATCAGTAGCACGTTGGGATAACAAAGGGCAAACACGCGGATTAGAGAATTGAGATTGTAGCTGTTCATGAGCTTTGATGACAAGTGCAATGCCAACTTATAATAAATATAATGATGTATAAATATAATGGTAGTTTAGTGTTTAAATGTACATGTTTATTCTTTCAAAGCCCTTCCTCAGCTAACATCAACAGCACTGATCATTAAGCGCTGCAACATCCAATATATATAATACCTACGCTTCATCATCCACATCTACGAATGGTGCGCGCGCGTTACGGTATAGAATATGCAAGTGGCATGTGTATTATGGTCTTCAGTTTGATGTTACACTCCTTTTAACCCACTGTACTTTCATATCATGCAATTTTCTGTTGTATACTTAACTTTTTACCAAAATATAAATTTTATTATCGTTAGATGACCAATCTATTATCCATTATTACTATAAAATAATAATTTTCTATTTTCTATTAGTAATATACAAAATTTATATTCGTGCTCCTGAAAACATAAGTTATCAGTCTCGAACACTTGACCGAAACTTTATATTCGGCACATAACAAGCTTGCCGGCTTGCTATTAAAACTACTTTTCAAGAACAGCGCTAACCAACAGGGATCTGCAGAAGCTTAAATCTTTATCCATCAATTAAAAAGATTTTGGAGATATATTGTGGAAATATTACTTTAATTACCAGACCACGCATGCCAAAAGGTTAAAGCTCTGCTCCGTCCAAGAATCGTTTGTAGTTACATTATATACCCTACCTGCACTAGTCTGATTAACCTCACTGCTGTCGGTTATAGCCTCCTAGATGGCTACTGTGAAGCTTCTGTAGCAAACTGCAATTCAAAAAAATAGATGCCACCCAGTTCCCAATGCAAGGTTACATCAGCCATGGCATTTCTCCACTCCGCTATTCCCAAAAAGGATGTTGGGGCTCAAGATATGCAACAATGCTCACGTGACCTGTAGCTCCAAATCTCCATTTTTCTTGCAGGTTTTGTTAGGAGAGAGGCGTGACAAAGCCAGTGAGAGTATCCCCACAAATTCCAAATTACAAGACCTTACATCACATTTGTAGCGCTTTAGTCTTGTTGCAAAAAGTGTACAAATAAGACGATCAAGGTTTACGAAGCTTTGATTCCCTGCTGCTTCTTTCCCGTGTTCTCAACGCAGACTCAACAAGCTTAACCTTTTTCGTATTCTCACTATTTAAAAGTGAAAGTTTTTCAAGAGATGATCTGAGCATCGATATCTGGCCCTTGTCAACATAACTCTTCCTCCCAGGTATTTGCTTTTCTTGGCTATTGGCTTTGGATGCTTGCATGTACCTCCTCAGCCTAGCACTTAGAGCATCAACAGAAGAATGCAAAGCACCCAACTCAACTTCCCTGAAGTGGTCTGCCAACAGAAAAGGGAAGTAATTAAACCAACAAAGCCCCTTCCATGATTTTTTGGCAGACAATATAACTACAGCTAATTCAGAGGACAACGAAGAAAAGAGACAGAAGTTTTCATTCGATGTAACATCCATTACCAAGTTCAGACTTGAACTGTAGCTCAGCTTTAGATAATGGTTTTTTGTGAGCATCAGGCAACTGTCTTAATCGTTGCAAGCGCTGTTCCAAAGAACTATGCATCTGACGTGCACGATCCATTCTTTTCTCCAATAATGGCTGCTTCTCTGCAACCTTCAAAAGCTTCTGCTGTGTGTCACCCGAACGAGCATGTTGGTCATCAATGATTTTCTTCAACTGAGGAGCATGGTGCTTGAGCTCCAAGTACACCTAGTTGGAGAGGAAAATAGCAAGGACCACAGTTAAAATCTAAGCAACTTCAAATTATGCTTGCATTTATCATAGACTACACCCCCAGATAGCAGTTGTGATTGCCCTGTCAAGTAATGAAATACCTCAAAATTGATGGAATTTGCTACAATACACCAGCTCTAACACAAGATCCTTAAAGTGATATTTTCGAAAAAGGACTGATGCATATCATGAATAAATTTCTTCATTAAAGTGTTCTATGGTCAGTTCACTACACTACAGTTAACTCACTGCATAGATATTATTGAATTTTAAACTAGTAACTTAATAATTCAACTGGGGCCAATACTCATTCATATATCCATCATTTATTTGACTCATTTGAAAGAGAAAGTTATAAAAAAGGAAATAGAAATAACAGCGTAGTCATGTCTAAGCCCACAATAAACAAACTAAGAAAGCAACTTAGACCGTCTCTTTCTTTAAGGATAAGAAACAGTGAGTCACGGTGTGGATAAGGCAAAAATCAATACATTAACTGCTTCTTGAAATATTAAATGGCAGAATATTTTGATATTCTTTTCTTACCTTATGTGCATACTCCACATATGTTTCATGAAAAAGCTTGAAATACTGATGCAATGCTGATCTGCCTTCAATTGAATCAGGTGAAACAGAACGTAAACTTGGAGAAGCCTGAGGAACAAGTACCGTCCTTGGTCCACTAAGTAATTCTTTACTAATGATAGTTGGTATCTCTCTCTCTTCAGGTTCATCCTCCAAGTGAATGAGTTTTTTCTCCATATCAACATTTGGTGGCAGCAACAGGTTCCACGTTTTTGTCTCTAGCACAATGCACTCTTGAGAAAGAGTGACCGCCACAATCCAGGAATATCCAAAGGAATCAGACAAAGATGCAAAACCACAAAGTGGAGATGCTGAGGTGCTCCCGCTCTGACATGTATTTAGAACAGGATGCACAGAAGGTGTTCTCATTGTATCACCCTTGCCACTTGCCTGGCTTGTGAATGGAAGGAAATGCAACACTATTGAATCAATCCCTCCATCGTGAATGGAATATATTCTTTCTGGCATAAGAGGATCCGCAAACAATGCAATATCATAACCACTTTCCACTCTCCGAGGCAGAGCCAAGTCAACAATAGCCAGTCTCAGTAGTGGTGGTGGATTGCCTAGCCAGACAGTATGATCAAGCTTCTCATGAAGGCCACTGGCGATTGACTCACAAATCATGGCAAGGCCAAGAATATGGTCCTGGGAATCAACACGAATTCTTGGAGGACTACCAGCACCCCACACAGGCTGGATCTCATCAGCCAGAGCATCTATCTGTAATTGCCCACCACTCCAAGAAGTAACCAAAACTGTGTCTTTGCTGACAAGATCATAAAGAAAACTAACTGCACGGCCTTCACATTCTGCACTACGGCCAACTGAATCTTCATCCCCACCCTGACCTACTCTTCGAAGAGGTCCCTTTAAAACAAAAACATAAAGAAGTTTGGCCTATCATACATTGCAACAAATGGTCAAATGGCAGAGGCAATTCTGCATATACTGATAAGGCAACTTGTAGGGGTGTAACTAAAATACATGCATACCTGCAGGATAAGAGATACATCAAATTGAGCATAAGCATGAGCTCTTAGCACAGACATGTTTTCTTCTTTCTCCTGATTTTGTAACTCAGGGAATGTTGCTTCCAACCATGAGATTGCCAAGTTTGAATTACTAGCAGCTTTAGAGTTTGCGGATTTGAGCCCAAACATATGAGCATCATTATATATTTCTAACACAGCTTCTGATTTAAAGAGACTGCACATAAGTAAAAGTAAAACAACAATCACATGAAAGTAGATGCGTCAGTGAGTAGCACAGAACCAATTTAAATAAAATGACAACATCAAATCATCAATTTACACACAATAGGATAGTTTGTCTTAGGTTTACTTATAAACCTGTAGCAGTATGATAGGAATATGTGTACTAACCATTTCATCTATGATAATAAAATTTGACTTCTGGTAAAAAACCATCAATTTAAACAATGTCATTTAGCAATCTACAAATGACCAAAACAACGATGTTGTATCTCAAATGATAATAGGACATATTGGCAATACTTGCGGACAATAAATAGAAATCCAGAAAAGGCTCTGGCTAAGAAAATAGCATAGTTAAATCAATTATTTTAACGACAATAACTAACAGCCTCCACGTTCTCAGTCCTTAAAGTGGACACCAATGCTTGATGCTTACTAGGTTGGAACAAATCCAATTTTGGTCCAAGTCCTCTCCATAATAAACATGATTACCTCATTCTAAGATGTGCCAGCAAATTCACATAAATAATTTCTATAGTTTGAAGCAGCTGTGGATGAACTCGATTATTTACAAATCAGCTAAAACTTTAATATGCTATGCGTGTTGATATCTTATTTTCTTTGTTCTAGAGAGTAAAACCAGAAAATGATCTGTTTCTAGTCTTTTTCCATCATACAGGAAAACTTCTTTTAGAAAGATTCTGTAATAGTTTTGCCACAATGAAATCACACTCTTCATTTCCCCTTATCTTTATTTCATTATTTGCTTTGTAATAAGGAGATCATCGTACAGGAAGTCACCCATTGATCGGCAAACTTTTTCAGGTGGTCAAGAAATGGATAACTCTGCCCTTCAATTAATTGACAGCGTCCCATTTGTGAGCATACAGTTTAAGATAGTATAGGTTTGTGATGGGCCCGGTGGCTAGCCTACTTCAACTTAAAGAGTCAACACTCACTGATGTATCAAGCTATATATACACAGTGACGTGTAATGAATTCAGATCAATAACATGATGATATGTTCACTGATATATACAGTGACACATTTAAGGGAAAGAAGACAGAAACTGAGAGAATATGAAGCATAAAGTACCTTCCAAATGGAACAACTGGGCAAAGGATGTAAATAGCTCCATCACCAAACAAAATAAATACCTGTTCAACAGCACAGACAAGTAGAAAACGATAGTAAAGCTGTGAAGTCACTAATGTTTTAAATAGAGAATAATAAGTTTTTATTGGTTGAAAAATTCAGCAACTTAAAAATGAATGAACTGCAGACATTGTGTCTCCTTTTAAAAGAATAACATTTCTAGTCATGTAGATTTCCGATAAAGGTACAACATAGTAAAATTTTTAGTAATATCATGTAAGTCACAAACCACAGGACACATTTAGAAAGGAAAACCAATTATGGTATGTGTAGTAAAAAGCAATGAGCAATAATATCATAGTATGCTATAATAAAATTTTAAACTTTAAAATAAATTAAAAAAAAAGCTCATGTGGCAGCAAATGCTCAAACATGAGTTGACAAACTCTACAGCAAAGACAGAAAATGAAAAGGATAAAGTATGATTTTTCTAGAGTGAAGTTTCAATGTAATCCTAATATTCTATAACACCATTAACTAAGTGACAGGTACAGCATAGACTTTTTTATGCCAACATGATTTTTTGTTTTTATGCACGAGGCATCTTAGTTATCAAGCCTTCTCCTTCCTTTATGGCCATGAAGTCTTCTCCCCGTACCCCCAAAAAAAAAAACAAAATCCATTCCCTCCCTCTCTCTCGTGCTTCTTTTGTCCATTAAAACTGGAACCAAAACCATATTGACCAGCTTCCTTCCTATGAAAATCCACCTCACTTGACTCGTACTCATCTTTCATTTATTCTGCATATCTGAAATTCAAGAGAACAAAGACGAGAAGGTTGCTTTTTCTGCTTACACCTTGCATGATTTTCACGCAATGGAAGAGAAGAACCCAAAAATTCAAAGGAGAAAAGAGGCCTTCCGGTCTGTAAAGGAAGTGAAAGCCACATATGATCCTTTTGACCATGTAAGAGCACATAGGTGGTTTCCATCAATTCCATAAATATAGTTATAGATTATGATGCCATTGAGATTTTAAAAAAAGATATGTAGGGTAAAATTGGACTGAGTCAAATAAATTGTAGTTGACTCAAATGAAAACATATACTGAATGTAATATTTAAAAAATCCAAGCAAATGAGCATCATCAATTTTCAAGGAAAAAGGTGGATTAAGAAGAGTATACGATATGTTAAAGTAAACAGAATATCAGCAGAACTTACACTAAACCTGTCCCATAAGTGGTCGCCCCCAAAAGAAAAATCAGCAGGGCACAAAGATGAAGCATTTCTGGATCTGCCTGGATCCACAGGCTGCAAATAATACTCTTGCTCAGGTTGCAAAGGATCCAAAGCCAAGTTAAAAAGCCTATAAGAATGGGTTGACAAATTAAAGGGTCGACAAAACAATACAAGTATTAATTAAAGAAATGCAGCTTAACCTTATTCATTCAAGAAATGAAAGATATATACAAAAATTGGAGAAAAAAAAAACTGTTTCAACACAACATTTTTATAATTAAATTATGAAGAGTTTAAGAGAAGTAGTTTGAGGGGTTTATATAATGAGTTTTGGCTAGTAAATATGAAAATAAATCTTTGGCAAGTCAAATGCAATTGCCATTGCAAAGACATTTGAACATTAAAAAGTCAAAGTAATATTTTGTCAAGAAGTATCAAAAGATGGGAGGAATTTTGAATTATGCTTAATGCCATGGCTCATGTCAAGGGCCTGGTTTAAATAATATAGAGTGAAGATAATGACTCAAGTGGGACGGGGAAACTCCCAAAAATCTAGTTAGCGAGATGCAAAAGCCAGCTCACTTAAATACTCTATTGAGTATCCCATGAAATGCATCCCATACTGCTGAAGTCTCCAATAACTGGCTCCATGGAGAGCCAGCGGCTCAGCAACTGCACTTTGCAATGCTGCAGTCAACTTTCTCACCAGTTAGAACCCTTTGTAGGTGGCGCTTTTTGGAATTGTTTACCACCAACTCTAATACCAATTGATAGGGTACTAAAGTAGGATGCAAAACTCTCCCCTAAAAAGCCAGCAATTGAGGTGACAGAACTAACTTACTTAAATACCCTATCAAGAATCCCCATATTATTCAATGTGTCATGTAGGCATCTCATATTGCCCAAGTCTCAATCTCAGAGTTACATTTCTGACATCTTTAAACTTCAAATGGACTTTTTTCATCTTGGGACAAACTTAAGAAACCATTAAATATATTAAACAAGGCATACAATTGTCAGACCATAGGCACCTTCTTAAACAATATTGTAGATAACATTTAAGTACTCCAAGGATAAAACAAACTCAGGGGCGATTCATTTGCATACTTTTCAAGTATTACTTGTAACTCGAGTAAAAAATTGTATTCTCAAGTTTCATATTTCAGCTCAATATGAGTTCCTTGATATTTCAAGTACTATGTCAATGTCTTTTTAGGTCAATGTAAACCAGGATGAACACCAACTGGGCAGTCAACATTCAGGCCAACAGCATCTTTACAAAAGCAATCTATCTTAACATGCACGCATGTATAAGGCAAAAAACAAAAACCAAGAAAACATACCGGAAAACTGAATCAGAAGAGAGGATTCCCACATGACAATCACTATATGGATGCCATAAAGCTTTTAGCACACGTATATCATTGCCACTCTTGGAATATGTTTGTGAACCGATCATAATAGTCCTGCAATAGGATACCCCTAAAGGCAGGTAAAAAAATAATGGTAATGTAAAGATGTAAGATGCAACTCTCTTGGACGGCAAGATAAAGTTCCAAACTTTGACATCAGAAAACTGCCCAAGGTAAGCATCTAATTTAGATAACCAGAATGTATGCAGATAAATGCAAGAGTGTAAACTATATAGCTCTAATCATGAGAAGAATGAAATCCAGAACTTAGCTACATATGCCTATGTCCCTATTGCCAGTAGCACAAGGTTCGAACAGAAAACATATTTACAATTCTATCTGTACCTGCAAATCAAATTTACATCCTTTTTTGATGTACGTCCATACAGATACATAACATATAGTCTTTCAGACCCAACAAGAAGTAATGCTGATCCATTCCTGTTTATAGAGATTTTGTGGATCAAAAGTTGATCTCCACATCTGCTCGCAATACCTATCAAAGTATTGGCATTATTAACTAAGCAGCTCAAACGAAATGTACAGAAAATGAGATATTATAGCTTTTGTCATAAAGCGTTAGCATCTAAAACTAGTGTCATTAGTTTGACTCAGAATACAAACCTTTTCAACCATTATCTCATAGCATCCAAGTCAAAAATAAAACAAGAACAAGAACAGAAGAGGCCTACACAAGTCTTCAAAAATGTATCACGTGATGCGCAAAGTTCCAGGCTCTTTTGTGTATCAAACACTAAATGAACTATAAGTCACTAATATACCATGACCCATCTAATTTCACCAAATCACAAGCCTGAATTTTTCATTGAATGATGAGTGCGCCAATTTAATCCTGCTTTCAGTCTGCTTCCTCTTTTTAGTCTTTTACATGTCATATAATGCAAGCAGAAAGAGTTAGAGTTAGAGTTAGAGTTAGAGTTAGTGTCATCGTTTCTTTCCTTGTTATATCTACTCTATAATGGTTTCGTCATACAATGTTAGCGCATACTTCCAGAACCGTATGATGGGGACTCTTGAGCGTACTCAGTAAACATCATTATCATGCTCAAGAGTTGAAGACTGGTCATTCCGTATCGAAGCTCAAGCATATGCTCAAATTTTGAAATGGGCACAAGAATTTTAAGCTTTCATCTCAAACCCTCCACCCTGATCAATCTTCAAACTCTATTTCCACTAAAATCCAACTGCTAAAACTCCCTCATTTTTAAGTCATAGGTTTTTAGCTCGAACACTTTCGTAAGAATAGAACAGAAAAACGAAACCTAAAGTAGCAACAAAAACGAGAGTGAGGAAGACCTTAGAAGGGGAAGCAGCAAGTATAGAAGTAGGTTCAGGCTCGCCCAGCCGAAGAGACAAACGGTGAAGACAGTTGATCTTGGGTTCCCAGAAATAGAGGCGAGAGGATCCATCCCAGGCCACCAGATTTCTGGAAAATGCAACGCCGGAATCGTCATCTAAAGAGTTATTCGTAGCGACGAAGACTGGGTGTTTCTCAAGCGGAACCCATTCTACTTCTTCTTTGGGCGTTGTTGAGCGCCTCACCTCTGAGTTCGTCTCATCTGTGTCAAATGTAATCCTCATCACTCTCTGCGCTACACCCCACCAAGTGTTTCGTCTTACCTTCACTTCCAAAGTCCGAACCCTGGCAGAGGCTGGTTCTCGACTTGTTGCTTCTGAAAAATGCTGGCCGATTCGAGATTCTTCCAACGACGTCGTTAGTAACTTTTGTTTTGTTTTATCTCTAAGAAGAACATAAATTTTTATTCATACGTTTTGTTTGTATTTTACTATAAATTTTTATATTTTTTATATATTTTAAGTTTTTATGTTTTCATTTTTCAATATTTTAAATTTTTAAATTAATAAAATATAAGAATCTTAGAGAGATTTAGAACATAAAAAAAAACAATGTAGGAATATAGAACACAAAAAAAAGTATGAAAATTAAAAATTATATTTTTTCTATCTTTTATTATTGGGGAAGGGGCAAAAGTACCTGGAAGTCACTAGCGGAAACTATACAATAGTGTAGCTTAAGGTAAGGGAGGACTCTTGTGCACTATTCTTCACTTTAACCTTATGTTTAAATGAAAAGAAAAATTGAGAGGAAAGAAAATTTAAGAAAAGAAAAAATTAAAAAAAATATCATTACTCCTCTTGTTTGATAGATAAGAGAAAATAAGAAAGAAAAAAATGAGCAAATATCATAATGATTATAATATCCTTATATCAAAATATATCACATTTTATGTAATTATATTTGTAAAAATAAATTTAAAACAAAAATTATATTGAAATTAACATAATCAAATTATTTGTTAAAAATGTATTTTTATATTATCAATTCTTTCTTCTTACCAACGACAAAACCCTAGAATCCCTAAGCATCCATTTTAAGGCAAAAAGATTTCAACTTTAGTAGCAAGCCATCCCTATTATCAACCTCTCCATTTTCACCACCATCATCATCACGTCTCGAGTCCCCCTTTTGAAGCACCAATAGAGCTACCTCTTTGTTCTTGTTGACATTTCCTAAGGCGATCTCAATGGTGACCTCGCACCCCTTGAGCTTGTAAAGTGAACCCTTGGTCTAGTGGTTAAAAGTTTAAATCTTGGATTCAAGGGCCTTAGACTTCTTGAGAAGGTCCCGCTTGAGAGAGGAGAAGTGGTCAAAGAGCTCCCTCCAAAGAAGGGTACAACTGGCCAGAGAAGAAGATGAAGCCACTAATGAAGATGATGCTCTGCTTGGGTCGATCAAAGATGGCAGTCTCCGAAGATGCGCGAAAATAAAAATAAAGGAGAGTCAGAGCATGAAATAGATAAAAGGGAGAGGGAGGGTAGATGATGGAAAAAAAATTTACTTTTAAAATCTCTTCACTTTTGGAAAGAAAAGTTAGAAAATATAATGGATCTCACACCCTATTTTCTTTCCTCTCATTTTTTCTTCTCTAGCCAAACACTGAAAGATTTGTTTTCTCTCCATGTTTTCTTCCCAACCAAACAGAGCATAAATTATTAGGTTAAACTATAAATTTATCCTTGAAGTTTGTTTTCGAGTGCATCTGGTATCCTAAAGTGTTTCATGTCATAAATGTGCCCTGAAGTTTTTCAAAATCATACAAATTTGCCTTATCATGACTAAGGCGATAGTTTGACTGTTAAGTGAGGCATTTTAACCTTCAATAACTTATATGACAGCCACATAATATGCCACGTATGTTTCCACACTTACCATACATAACTACACAATCCTTGTCATCCAGTTGCATTTAGTCTTTTTTTTTTTATCGTTGTCTTGCTAGGTTTATTAGTAAAGACATTAATAATGTCTTTATAGCCCAAATAAAATGGCAAAAGTTAGGAAGCTCGATAAATTGATTAAAGACGAAGCTGGAGAAAGATGGCGATGAATGATGACAAAGATAATAGTGTGTTAGATCAAAGGCATGAGGAGTCTAAGACGATGTTGATTACCAGTAGTAGGAGTAGGAAGAGGGCAGCAGTGTTGTGAAACATTCATTGATAGTAAGTTGAAATATCTTCTGAACTAAACATCATTAACAATTTGAATCTATGGTAATCAAGGGTTTAACCCTTAAGAGATTACCAAGTTACAATTTCAAAATAAAAGGATCCCAAGTTTTTTTAAGTTAAAATGAGTCTAAACTATTTATTAACTTTAAAATCAGAGTAAAACAAGTTACAGAAGCATAGGATACCTTTAAGGAGGAGTGACAGAAATTGAAAAATATTAAGTTTGTTGAAAAATAAAGTAATGCACCGTGGTTTGTGCACCCTGCATGTTGCATGTTTTCTTGATAGTAGAATTGAGCAACTTCTAATATGCCCCATTTCTTTGTCCAACATCTAGATGACTTGATTCAGGTGTCTACAAAAATCTCTTTTCATAAATTAACTAATGGCACATATTTTACTTCCATAACTTATTACATTAAGAAGTTGGACATCCAAACATACATTGTTACCACTTTTCACAACTTTTACACATAAAATGGTGTCTAAAACTCAAAAGTTCCTAACACCTAGACTATATTCATTGAAACTAAAACTATGAGTACAGCACACTACATACACTCAAATACCAGTATAGCACAAGTCACTCTTCAACCCCTTAATAATAAAACTGAAGGGAGAGGTAAATTCATTGCGTGTATATCAAAAATCAATCATATATCAACATATACAACTTATTCATTCACAATTACTCAAGGCCTAAAATACAATTCGGACATTACAATAAACTATATAATGCAAGTGTAACTAAATGCATCATAAATGGACAATAATATTATATTATTCAAAAAAACAATACTTGAAGGCCTACACTAGGAATGCACCAATTCCTAAGCCTTCGTAGATTTTTCCTCTCTGCATCAAAGCTAAAGCCTATAAAATGTTAAAGGAAAGTGGTGAGTCTTGGTACTTAGTAACAAGGTAAATTTACCCTATGCAACTATAGATCAATTGAAATAAAACACAAAAGTATGAAAATACATGCTTATCAAACATGCCACAACACATCATGTCACAATCAATTTACTTCCATTTTATCACTTGGTGCATAGCCACAAGATACTCAAATATATGACTATGACTCAATATATTAACATGACTTGCCACAACTCACTTGTGTGACATGTCATATAGGCAATGATTAACCATCCTTATACCCTTCCTTATTTTCTTCAACTGAAACTGTGAGCTATAACACTGAATAAGGCTTTATTCATACAATTAGACTACCACACTCACCATCATTATGAGGTGTGACACGGTCAAAGATTATACGACTCACTCTCGAACTACAGTTTTCTCACTCTTGAATCTCCAGGGTGTCGTATACCCTGAACTAACCTCCTCAATAAATTGATAAAGATAGCTAGATTCTAATTTCTCGACAAACTATAGGACAGTCCCTCAACAAACTGTGGGATAAGGCTATAGCCTTGTGAATTAGAGGTTAGCCATAACACCATATGGGTTTTAATTACTCCCATCCAAGGAGAACCCCCACCTATTGATCATGCTATACACGATGCTCACTCATTTTTCACATTCTTATTTATTTATTATCAAAATCAACACGTGGCTCACAATCGTGCGCTATCCAAATAAGTATCAATACTCATTTTCATGTTCATCACATAAATCCACTACTTTCAAACTTAACACATTCCTCTTTTACAAACTCATATTAACTATTCAATTTCACATCACATTGCAATTGTAATTCATTTCAAAATCACTTTTGCAACTTTATATTTATTTTGAAACAATTAAGTAACACAAAGTTTCATTACATGTTACACACATTTACAAGTCACAATTCACATATTAAACACATATTGTAATTAACATATAATTATTTAAAGTAAGTTTTTCTGATTAACTCAAATATTTGAGAGGTCAAATATTTACCCTCAATATTTTAAGCTTCCAAACTTAATTCCCAAGCCAAAATTGTGTTCAAGAGCTCAATTTACAATTAGTCAAGTTAAACTTTATTAACATTGTCAAGAGCACACTATCAACTCACACGTTCACTTCTCCATTACCTGACAACATCAATTTATACTTTTAGGCTTACTTATTAGGTTTATTAACTTTATTTAATCCCCATTAATATTAATAAGCCATTAAATTCTCATTAATGACATTACCATTCTTCCAACGACCCTCACTAATCTTAAGTTCAAATATTAATAAGGTCCAACAACCAAAGATATCAAAACTCAATATTCCTAAGGTTATAAATCTACTCCCATTAACTTCATTTGAATCAATCGATTCAGATCCATAACTTATATGGACCAAAAATTATCTCTCACTATCAAATCCTAACTAAAATATCATAAATGTGGAAGAGATAGGGAAGAATAAAGTATAGAATACTTACCTCAAGCATTTCTAACTCCAAAATACTTTTAATGCCATTCAAGTATGAACGTTAGCAAAGCTTGATTGCTTGTTCTCATTTTCTCTCTTTTTCTCCTTCAAATTTTTTGTCTATTTATGACTTAAGTTTTATAGAAAAGGGCTATGCACTGTAGCGTATGGCACAGAGAGATCTCCTCTTATTCTAATTATTGTCTGTGTACCGCGACAAACGTATTTCACGCACAGCATATGGCACAAAAACACTTTATCTTTGTTTTCTTCCCCTTTTGATACCTGGATGGCCAGACTTCACACCAGACCTATAATTAAGTTGAAACATAACCAAATCAATCATTAAACTCCTTAGCCATATGCCACATCAAACCATTCAATTTAATCATGAAACTTAATTAATCCTTTAATAATCCAAGGATTAAAAATTGGGATGTTATAGTTGCACTAAGGTCGTGAAACCTAGTATGAAAGGGAAAGGAGGTTCTGCCACTATGGATTGTTAGCTCCCTAATGGACATCGTGGATAGAGAACCCAGGACGATGATTTTATGGCTGCCCAAATTATGACTTGGTAAGCTTTTGAGACTTGATTGATCATGGTTTATTGGTGGGCAAATGATAAGATTTTGTTTCAGGGTAAGTGTAGTACTTTCATTGGCATGACTCTAAGATAGATCAGAGGTAGAAGGAGGTGATAAACAACCTTGAATACAATTGCATGAAAGATAGAAAAAAATGACATCTATCAGTGCAAAATGGAAGAAATGGATTAAGCTTGTTGCTCTTATAATGTCCTATGTCCGTATTGTTTTCCTTTTTTCTTAAAATATTGGAGAATAGCTATGTAATCTATGGTAACTTCATTTGATTAAGATAAGGTTGTAAAATTTTTAGACCTTGAACTTAGTAAATTATAACATATTCATTATCAATTCTCTAAATTGAGTATTCCTAATATTGATTACACCATAAAGTTGCTGGAATGAAGCTAATTAAATATGATAGGTGCTATAATCAACATGAGATTGAACATAAGTTTGCTCATTCATTCACAAAAGCCACCTATACATAGTGTCAAGTAGTAAACTTGAATACCGCACACAAAATTCAAAAAGCATCATCTAATTGACATGTTTGGCTACACAAAATAGATAAAGTATGGCTACAGAAGCCATTACAAAATAGATAAGTTTAGCTACACAAGCCATTATAAAATATAACTTCAAGGGAAACCTAATTTCTAGATATTTCCCTCCTTTACTCCTCCTAGCCATATCCCCAGTCCTTCTTTCCATTTCTGCAAGTATGGACCTAGTTGTTTGACTTAGCTCTCCTATCCACATTAGTCCTGGTGCTCTAAATGAAAAATTAGTAGGGTGGGAAACATTGACACCATCTCTAAGCAAATAAATCCTCCTAAAACCTTTTGTAGAAGCTTGTGAAGCTCTTGACCTTATGGATCCCCTGATCTCTATCTCATTCAAATTGGTCCTTAAGGTCTATATAGTGTCGTATATACTTAGCAAACATCCTTTCTTCAATCACTATCTCAGAACTCATTCTAAGCTAATGTCATGAAAACAATATAATTTCTGTTAGTTATTTATATTTTTTCCCACAAAAGTATGAAAATTCAGAGTCATGGAAGACTTACATTGTATATAGTCATGCTAGTGTCTTCATTAATAAGAATATGCTACAGACATCATCATCTCTTACTTCATCTCCATACCCCTTCACTTCCTCATGATCCAATTCTGTCCCTTTACTTTCTCCTCTATCATATTCACTGACCTTGTTGTCCTCACCTATGCTATCCTCACCTATAACATTATAAAGATCAATGTCCTCATTCTCCTTCACTTTTCTCTCTTCCCTTTCTTTTTGAGCATAAAGTTCATCATCCTTGGGGTAATATAATCCTTTGGCACAGTACAATTCTGAATCTCATTAGTAATTGAGGGATAACCGCCATGCAATCTGTCACGTGTCTCCTCCTACTTATTTTCTCTTCGTTCAAACTCAGACATTAGATTCTCTACCACACTCCAGTCCACACTCTTACCTTGACCCACCTCCCTAACTTCATCATCATACCTTTTACTCGACATTTTACTAAGATGTGCCTAGACAAAACAAAAATCAAAAGACTTCAATGCCAAATCTATGCTACTCTAAAGTAAAAAGAGGTAAAGAGAGGTTCGTGTTAGAGATTCCATTACTAACCTGTAATCTTGGCACATATCTCTAGATGCTACAATTGTTCTTAACCCAATGAGATTCCACGATGCTCGTGGTCTTAACTAAACGCTCGTACAACATTTAGTTCCAGAGTGGTTCTAGAAAGACTAAGGTTTAAAGACAAAATGGTGCAACTTATGATTGGCTCAATGATGGTCTAAGAAGGACTAGGGTTCAAAGATAAGAATGGCTCGAGATGGTTCGACAAAGATTAGGTTTGAATATAAGAATGGGTCAGTGGAGCTCAAGAATGGTTCGATGATGGTTTAAGAAAGACTAAGGTTCGAAGATAAGAATGGCTCAGTAATTGTTCAAGAAGGACTAGGGTTTAAAGATAAGAATGCTTGGTAGGGCTCAGGAATGGCTTAACGATGGTTCGATAATGGCTCGATAAGGCTCAAGAATAGATGAATGATGGTTCACGAAGGGCTCGATGATGGTTCACTCTAGAAAAGGTCATAAGGTCTTGGGTTCACATTTTGAATGGAATTAGGGCTTAGGGAGTTCACTGTTTCATATCTCTAGCCACATATAGGGCTGTGGCATGTGAATACATGTGTCAAGTATGGCAAGCATAGAAACATACGTGGCAAGTGATGTAGCTGCCATATAAGCTACTGAAGGTCAAAATGCCTCACTTAATGGTCAAAATGATGCCTTAATCATGGTAGGGTAAATTTGTGCAATTTTGAAAAACGTCAGGTACATTTGCGCCATTAAATACTTTAGGATCCTAGATATGTCTTAGAAAAAACTTTGGGGGTAAATTTATACTTTAACCTTAAATTATTAGGTCCTCAAAACTAATGATTTTTAAGGGAAAAAAGAAGAAGTTTTTTTTTTCAGTACTGTGGGCTTGAGAGTTTTTTTTTGTGTTATCTAACCTTTGGATAAAGGAGTAAGAAGCCCATAAAAGGTTCTAATGCTCATAAATAGGTGTGATTAGCTAGCTTAGAACATCAAAGACCAGGTGGGCTTATTCTAGTACTAGCTGTGTTCTTGGAATTATTTATTTACGCATACTTGTTAGACTATTTAAAGGAATAGGTGTGAGGTTCTCTTCCTTGAAAGTGCTGATAAGCTTCCTGAAGAGCCTCTTTCCTTCTTCTTTAAGGCTGTTGTTGACTTCAAATTATCTAATACACTCACTAGTCTATATAACTTGAGACTGGATAAGGGTAAGATTCCTTTGCATGATAATGTTGTCAATTTAGAAACTAATGGGTCCACCCTTTATAATGGTTAGAATACTTATAGTGGAGTCATAAGAATAGTAAGTAGACATTAGATCCAAGGCTTCAACTGTAAGCTAGAATTTGATCCAACGACCATCTTTAAGACTTACAATATCCCTAAGCGACTTGAGATTTGCTGGGCAAAAGGATTTATGATGGTAGAGGTCTATTGTGATAGTGCATATATTATTTTGCTAATCACAAGGGATAACCATAGTTAACATCCTTTTGAGGATATCATCGAAGCGACGAGAAAACTTATATGTAAATAGTGGAATATTAATTTTAATTTCATGTATAGAGAAGAGGATTGGTTAGTTGATTTTTTTGCTAAGTTAGCTCACAGGCTTCGTTCTAATTACAATCTATTTGACTAACCACCAACTTGGTAGTTTTGTGTGGTTGTCTTTTATTTTATTTTATTTTTTGTTTTTGGTAGGTTTCCTCTTGTCCTTTTGAGCTGTTTGTGCTCTATTGTTTTTTTTTTTGTTTTGTTTTGAATGAAGCTTCCTATTCACATTTAAAAAAAATGCCTTTATATATATGAATGTATGAATGTACATATAAAAGCTTACTAATAGCTAGAGTTGGTCATTTAGGTAGGATTGACTTATTTAAATTAGGTTCAATTCAAGTTGGGTTATCTAGATCAGACTTAAAATACCTGAATATATATAAAAAAGTCCATACAGGCAAACCTAGCCTTATCACTTTGGCCTTTTGGACTGATTCAAACTAGCCCGAATACATAAATTGTTAAATATTATTTTATTTTTTAACTAATTTTAATTTTTATCTTAACAAATAAAGATTTTCAATATTTATCTTATTTTATTTTAATAACAATAATAAAAAAGAATTTAGTATTCAAGCTAAGCCCATTTGAATTTGGGCTTAATCTAAATTTCTTTAGGTTTATTTGAGCAATCTGAATGAGTTCAAAGTAAGTAAAATTTTTCAAACTCTGAGGCTCAATTCCAAGATTCTTTAAGCTTCTTTGGGTTGACCCATTAAACTTGAGCCAAATTACCACCTCTATTGATAACTTAAAAAAAAGCCTAATGATAGCTTTATTATTTAAATAAATTTAGATAGTACTACCAAAAAAAAGAAGGGAGCAGTTTAGTTCAGTTGTCAATAAACCTTGTAGTAATTAATTCCTTTATGTAAGACCTAACTGTAATTATTTTCAAAAAGAATAGATATAGATATGATTTGATATTTAATTATATTATTATATTATTAGAATTTGAATTGATTAGGGTATTTATTGAGATGAGAATGATGCCTAGATAAATAGGAGACAGTAGAGTGACTAATTGTTGACTTTGATTTTAATAAAATTGTATATTCATATTTTCTACCCCCAATTTAATACCTATTGTATTTTGAATATAAATATTTTCAATAGAAGAATATCTGTGCATAATAAAAAAAATGAAAATCATGCATTGATTCTTATAATTTTAACTCAGTCATAATTTAATTTTTAAATTTTATCTCAATGTAACTCAATCTTTATAATTTTATCATTTAAAAATGTTAGTGTCTATATTTTTTAAACATAAAATTATAAGGACTAAAATTATTTCTTGAAGTTTAGGAATTAATATTTTAAATAGTTAAAATTATAAGGATTGAATTAACGTATCAAATTTAACGATTAATTACAACCAAGTCAAATTGAATGGACTAAGTTACAACTAATAACGATTAATTACAACCAAGTCAAATTGAATGGACTAAGTTACAACTAATATCTGCGGAACGAACATGAGGGGAAGAAATATAGAAGGGACGATTACATGAACCGATATCCAAGTATTATGTTAGCACTGAAATTAAACTATAGCACCTCATTTAAAATGAAAATATCAAAGTATTATGTTGAACGGTTTGATTATGCACAAAAATATGCTTACGGAACAGCGATGTAAGTTTGGCTGCAACTCGAACTTTCGAATGAGCTAGTCCACTGTGGCTTTTTGTGCCAAGGGTTTACTTTGTCATTGATTGCTTGGTTGTAGCTATGTCATTCTATTGCTCTTGATTAGTGAGTGTGATTGTGTTGCTGATATTAATAAAGTTGATAAAATGATAGGGTTGTGATTGAAGTAGGATGAGAGTTTAAATCACTACCATATTATTATTCCACCTTCATTATTTCATACACTACGCTTTATAACTTGTAATTAACTTGGTGGACATATCGTAGCTTGCACTATACAATGAGAAAAGGAGGAGACAGAGAAGATGTCATATTGATATTAGGCCACTTAATCTTCCTCACAGGCATCATCATAATGGGTCACTGGCAAGATTAAATTTATATTTCAAGATTGAAACCAGTTAGGTGGAATCTGATATTTCAAGATTATACTTTCAACAGATTGGGGTCCTCTTCATCACCCCACTTGGACACTGAAATCCTAATTTCAACCATTCATGATAATAAATTACAACTTGTCAGGTTGATACTGAGAGCATGGCCCATTTCACTTTGACATATAATATACACGAGACGAAACTGATGAAAATCCAAAAAATATGTACTTGTATGAGGGCCTACTATGGAGTGGCTCTATAGTATATACATCTACTCAATCACCAATCTGCAATTTGATGTATCTTGGCGACTCTGCACAATTCTCTGTGACTATATCCTGTAACTCTAGTGTTAGCCTTTACCCTTCAGTGTCAAGGTGATGACCCAGCTATCCTTCGGACAAACCTGAGCCACAAAGAAAGAAACGGCCATTAGATCCGACTTAAATACAGCACAACTTTTTGCCGCAGTTGAACAAAATAGTATAGTTACCTGATCATCCCTTGAAGCACTGAAGAATACAACGTGACAATTTTGAAGCTAGGAGTTCAAAATCTCTATCTCTGTATATATTCAACTAATATTTACTCTTAATATTCTGTGGGCTTGGGTGGGATCAGTTGAATCGTTCTTCTTTAAGGATCTTGGGTACCTCTTGCAAGCTGAAACCTACACCCATAATATCAATACCACAGAAATGGTTAGTTTCTTCATAACATTAATTTAATTGTTCCAGATAAACATGTAGATATATAAAATAGCACATGATCTAGTAGTGTATTATAATATATGAGGTCGGCTTTGGGCATAAATTTAATTAGGGAGGTTACCGTTGTTTGTGGATCCTATGAACATCACAATCTTGAATGGGATTTTTCTGGCATATAAAGCAACACGAAATCACGAATCACATGCGAGAGTGAGACCGAGTCTTCAAATCAGCATGTTAATATGAACCTTCAAGGTTCAAGCTGATCTCATGTTATAATTATGACAAGGATTGCAGATTTTGACCATTTGAAGATACTAATGAATTTAACGAGAATGAACCTCATTTCTCTCAATATTTGACAATATAGAAAGTTACGTTTTTTTAAATATACATACATACATACATATATATATATATATATATATATATTATAAAAATAATATTCCTTTTAAATGGACTAGCCCAAAATGTCAAACATCCCCATAAATACCCCCTTCAATTTCCCACCAACTCAATTTGGTTGTCTTGAAAAGTCAGAATATTACTTATAAATATAGCCGCAGCTGAATATAATGACCAATTTTATATTGGCCATAAGGAGATGCAACCATTCTAGCTCTATATGACAATGAATCCGGTGTTGTGCTCCTCAAGCACAAGCAATATTGTCATCGAATTATTGACCTTCCAGAAGAGTCATATTCACTATTCTGCCCTTTTATGCACATCATGAACCATGGAATAAAATGAATTATATTAGCAAAAGTAAAGTTTATAAAATAAAAACTAACACTCTTATTTATAATTAGATAATTAAAGAATAATCTTATAATAAACACGAGTTATCTCATTTTTTTACGCTGAAACTAAAATTTATTATATTCATATTTATTTATAAAATAATAAAGTAAAAATAATTATTACTACTAGTTACTTCTTATATCATATCTCAGTTTATAAGATATTTTTTGAGATAATTTGGTATTTTAAAATATAAGATATTTTAAAAAAATATTTCATTAATAATTATTATTCTAATATTATCTTTCTTTATAAAAAATAAAAAATTGTACATTATATCTAATAAATTCGTTGGTTTGTATAATTTTATAAAAAAATGTTTTATAAATTAAGATGGGGAGTGTAATGTGAAAAGTGAAAACTAATCTTTTCGGGGGTTTTTTTATTTTTTGGGGATAGAATCTTCTTGAGGTAATCTAAAATGTCATTAAATTCATGGCATTAAAAATCAAAATACGATTCGACCCAATTGAGGTGCAAAATGAAGCTTCCTTTTGGACCCCACCCAAATTCGCACCAATTCCCACCATTTTTCCTTAACATCCACGCGGAAAAAAACACATTCAGAACTAATTCGAATTCTCATTAAAGAGACTCCAAACTTATAAAAATTATGTTATTCCCCAGATTTATCATCTTTTTTCCTAATGAAGTGGAAAAGGCTGTGAAGATACTTACAGCTTCAACGTCAATTTTGTACACCAGGAGCTTTCGTCTTTCTCTGCAACTTGTTTTGTAAGCCACGGCAATATGCCCAATAGCCAAAGCACACGAGCACACGAACAGAGCTATTTCGGAGGTTCGCATATGGCTTCCTCCTCCATACGAATCTGAGAGACTGAAAACATACACAGCTTTCAGCGACACAAAAATCAGAGACGAGACAGAGCACATCGTCGTGATCCCCAAATATGGCCCCCGCGAAAGCCTTGGCCCATCGCAGAAACTATAAACACCTGCACAAAAGCCATTAATTTAACAGTCAAAAACAGAAGAATCAAACAGAGTACGAAAAGGTTTCGAGCTTTAATCTCTGCATACAGAAATACTCACAGAAGATGACGAGGGATCTTATGATGGACACGAGGGGAATATCGATGAGGGAGTATCGGAAATCGTAGTCACGGAAGTGAGAAGAAAGAGTTTCTAGGGAGAGAGAAGAAGGTGAGAGCGCAGAGAGCAGAGCCGAAGGAAGAAGCGCGTCGGCGAGAACAAGAAGAAGAGGAGCCGAGAAAAGCAAGAGCGATATGAGCATGGTGATCAAGAAGAACAGAGTCTTGAGACCCCTTAATATCCTGGTGAATCTCTCTTCCTTGGAAGAACCCATCGGGGGTTTGTTGAGATTCCTGGTGATTCAGAGCTAAAGAGAGACGTGAGTGCGAGCAGAGGAGGAAGGAGGGAGAAGAACAGGGAAGGCAGACGGAGAGGGGAAAGCTTAATAGGAGGAGGAGGGGAAGGCGCAGAGATTTTGACCGGACTCGTCGACAATGTGAATGATGATGAAATACTTGGAACTTTACACGCGGACCCTTGATGGGGCCGTTTAGTAATTTGAAGTTAGAGCTCTCTCTTAACTCTAGCATACGGTACACCATACCTAACGTCCAACGGCAATACCCGAAAAGTTTAAACGACAGTAAACTACAATTTTGGATTTGAAGGCAGCTTTCCTCGCTGAGGCCGGAGGGTGACAGACGGGTGGGAAATTTATTTTCATGATAAAAAAATTTATTTTCTCATAAAAAAATATAAAATATTTTTAGTTTTATTTTTTTGGCTAGAAACAAAGACATAACTATTAACCATCAATGGAGGAGCCAGTCTAATACAACAGTAAACATAAAAGAAACAAAAGGAAATGAACAATCAAAAAGATGCAAGAAAAAGCAAGGTGTAAATGAAGAAAAGTCTGATGCCAAATCCCAGATAAAATAGGGACCTTATCCAGCAAAAAAACAATTAGATATGGGGGCTTAAACGCCCAATCCAAAGAGCACATCCTTTAAGCTACAACTTGATTAGTCCAATAAGTAGCTTGACAAAGATATCTTGGGATCCATGAAAAGCAACACATGCTTAATGGTTTACCAAGATTTTAAACAAAATTCATAAAGGTTGAACAATCCCACGCAGAATGGAATACTTCATAGCTAACAAGCTCAACTAGTGGGGAACAAAGCAACAACATCATCATTGGAAGAGCCCTATAGAGGTACACCATACCATTATGCGTGAGAGACCAAAACAACTCTTCCATAATCCAAGTAAACTTATCCACAAAGAAAGAACCAAAATGTTCATATCAAGGAGGCAGCCATCACAAATCATCCTTGCTTCTACTTCCATTAAGCCTAAAGGAGCAATTAGAACCAAGATCGCACGGCAACAAAAAAGTACTCCCTATAAATGAATTGAAGACATCTCGGCCAAGAGGTGGATTCGATCAACCTCAAAGTCTATGGCAGAAAACTAGACAAAATCACCAAAACTCGTCAAAAAAGCAGGTTGGAAAGAATATACTGTACAAGGAGGTCACATTCCTTCCAATATTGGGTCTTAGGTTGTTCAAAATCACTCATCTCTGTAGTTACAATGTGATGCCTATGTAGCTCCCCCACCATTTGCTTTGAAAAAATTAAGGAGCCAAAATCCACCATCATCCATATAATCCCAACACAAACAGCCACAATGCTTTCAATTCATCATTAATCCCAATTAATTTTGTTGTGGGTTCAAGAATTCCCAGGTTCAATTCATCCCTCTTCATCAATAAATCTAGCGGCACCCATCTCAAATCCTCTACCATTTCTAGATCACAAAAATCACCAAGCCAAAATCCCTCCTCGTTGAAACCAACCTAAATCAATTGTTTTTCTTGTTTTTTTTTTTGCACATTACATTCATCCTATTGTCGCCAATTACCATCAAAATCCCCAACCCATCACCATTGCAGATTGTTTGCATCAACTCCCCTACCTTACCCCAACTACTTAATGAATGCCCATCAAACGTTGAGATGAGAGGTCCAAAGACCAAGTAGCAAGGTTGTGCTAAGAAACTCCCAAGCAAAGAGGAGAAAGAGCTCTTCATGAAGGAGGGAAGGGTTGAAACTCTAGCAAAGGCATAGACCTCTATGGCGCTCTTGCATTATTCTTTTAGTTTTTTAATATAAATTAATAAATTTTCTCATAAAATATTTTTAATAAATAAATCATTCATCTTACTTTTAGATGAGACACTGTATTAAATAAAAATATATATAGAAAAATTGTATTAGTTTAGATACACTTAATTAACTTATTGAGGGAATAAAATTATAAAATTAATCTTAAATCTGGTGTCATATATTAAAATTGGTAATTATGGCAAGATAGTTATTAATCATTGTTGCTTAGTTGTTTTTTTTTCTACTAGAAAATTTAATTTTATTAATATCAATAGTCGACTACAAACACTAATAGGTGAAGTCAAGAAAAATACTCAAAAAATACTAACAATAATACCTAAACATGCCCAAACCTTAGACAAGCCTTAAAAAAAAAATACAACCTACAAACAAACTAAAAAACAGAAACATGAATTAGAAACCAATAGATCAGCCAACACTTACTCAAATGTCACCAACAATAGTAAGTCCATATTCCTCATTCGCAAAATCTCAGAAAAGAGAGGTGATGCTATTACCGGCCACCCAGCAGGCAACACCTCCCTACAACCAACAGCTACTAATACAACAGTAGTATAATTTCCTTGACGTGCAACCAAGGTGAAGTTAATATGTGGCTTGTTGTCAACTAGCTTGAGAACATCATACAATAGAGAATCGGTCTGCCATTCTACTCCCGAAGTAGATCGAGTCATAACAGATTTGTACAGACTCTCACAATCTACCTCAATACAAATCCTTTGGCCTAGAAAGCTAACACTAGCAATAATGGCTTCTTTAAGAACAACTTCACTGACAGTTACTCCTATCCAATAATAATTCACAACTTCAATATCACAAATTAACAACATCAATAAATGACATAGAATTTTAAAGGAATTTTAAATTTGTGTTGTTGTGATGAGGCTTCTTGTTCTTTATAATTGCACAATTTATTTGTATTTGAGTTTTTTTTGGTATAATTTATAGATCGTATAAATTGTCCTCTTAAGACTCACAAATAAGATAGAGAGAGAATTAAGAGTTATCTGTATTTATTTATTGAAAACATTTTAAGTTGAATAGATTAATAACAGATGTTTGTTGATGCATCGATACGTGTTAGTAAGTTGAGTTGCACAATAAGCAAAGATGGCCATGAGAAAAGGGGATCTTGCCTCATGAAGGTTGGTTCTGACTGGACGTGGACTCCCTCTTAGTGAGAGGGTCCTAACACTATTAAAAAAATATAAATTAACAAAAAAATTTATTGAAAGATTTTTTATTTCTCTCTAAAATATTAAATTAGTAAACAATTAATGAAGGATGTTAATTTTATAGCTTGATTTAATATTACTGAGGGACTATCAATTCTTCTTTAAAATAAAAGAGTTAGCGATGAAAATAGTGAGAAACTACTAATCCCTCTTTAAAATAAGAGAATTAGCGAGGAAAATAGCAAGAGACTGTCAATTTTTCTCTGAAATAAGATAATTAGTCAAAAATTTAGTAAGAAATTCTATCCCTAGCTAATTACTGCAAAAAAAATAAACTTTTGATAATGACTTTTAATTATATGTTTAATTATTTTTATTTAAATTTAAAAATTAATTAAAATATTCATAATAAAATTATTTAATATTTAATATATTCTTTATTTTAAGTTGATTTTCATTAGTAAAATAATATTTTATTAAAAATATAATGTAAAAAATAATTTAAATAAAATATAAATATTTTTAACATATTAATAATTGAAAATAAAATTTAATATGTATATATGTGTGTATTTTTATAATATATTATTTAATATATTTATGGAGTTAAATAATATTTATTTAATTTTTCATACGATAACTATAGGTGCCTTTCAATTTAACTAACAAAGAAGGAGAGCATAAAATTTGAAAGGTATGAGGTCAAGAGTTTAAGTCTTGGGTTGGCATAAACATAATGAATACATAACATGTGACATGGCACAAGATAAACAATAACATGTCATGAGTTGTCGTACATGTGGTGGGTAATGGGGCACAAAATGATAGGTGACATGATGGTTGATAAGGCATGAGGTTGTTGGTGATATGACACAAGTTGAAACACACATGATGGATAATGTGACATCATTATTTTTAAATAAAGACATATTTAGTGAGGAATTAAGTAAAAAATTCAGTCCCTTGTTAAAATTAACGAGGGATTAAATTCCCCTCTAATTAATGAAGAAAATATAATCCCTCATTAAATTTAACAAGTTTTTTTTTAATTATAAATTTAATGAGAGATAAAATCTCTCACTAAAACATAATTTAACTAAAATAATAGTACTTATCTCTCGTTAAATTTAATTTTTCTAATAGGGTAATCAAGAAAGGGCAAATTTTGTTTTTTTTAACCTAACCCTTGTGAGGGTAGAATGAGGGCCAAGATTCCCTCACCAGGAGAAAATTTTAGCCTCTGTGTTCGATGACGCATATCTTTGTCATGCACAAAATTCTTTTTTAAAATGTCTTTTCTTGTGCGACGCTTGATCAATTTTTTTCATTAACTAATAATAATGTGGGTCATGCATCACAGAAATTAAAAAAAGTTATATTATTGAGGACTCTTAAAATACGTGGCTCATTATAATTTTTATATTACATACAGATTTTAATTTGCTCTATAATACAGATATCAAAGTATCCACACCACAGCATATTGATGAAAATAATTGGTAGGGATTATGATTTTTCGTTTTAGGTTTACACTTTTTATATGAAAAATATTTCTTAATAATTTTTGAACTGGCCACCTATTTAGGGAGACTTTTTTAAAAACAAGAAAAATTATAAATTAAAATGCATTCACCCGAAATTATTCGGATGTTTATTTTATAAACAATAAATATATATAATAGTTGTGTACGGTGTATTAATTAATATTAAAAAAAATAAGTTACGTGCGCTGAATGATGGTGACTTGGTGGTGGACGCCGTATGGACTGTTCTTGGTTCTAGAAGCACATTTTAACCATGTAGTGTAATAAAGGTATTATTAATAGATTGGCATGGGTTTGGCATGGGTTTGTATCTTTATTGGCCAGTAAGAGCTACCTTATTTAAGAATGTTCTGAGTTCTGACTCTTCAAATTTCTGGGTCGTATTAATAACTAACGCGGTCACGAAAGGCAAATACTGCATCTAAAGTCATATACCATTTGGCTTTGACAAATATGTTTTTGAAACTATAGAAACAAATTGTTTTTAATTAATGAAATATGTTATGATTATTTAAATACAAGGTTTTATATTTGAATTTATGTGAATGCAGAAAATATCTTTAAAATAATTATTTTTAATTAGATCCAACAATATTTGAATTTT